ACCTGCTCAGCCTCTCGCTGTGAGTGGGGGGACACAGCTGGGCTGGCTCTGGGGAAGTCCAGGCAGCACCTGCTCCTAAATTAATCATAGTTAAGAAGGAAGTGGCCTGGTGTTAGTCCAAGAGGCTGGCTGGCCATTGCGATTGGCTAAGATAACGCAGTTCCCGTCAGTTGTGCTCAGGTAGTTCAGGAGGGATCAGATCCACGTTTGCACCAGGTAGTTTTTCCTTTGCTGGCCAAAACATCCCCCAGGAGGGGAGGCTTAAGGAGAGGCAATGATTTGGATGCATGTTTCAACTGGACTCTGTCAGGCACAAGTTTCACAGGAAAACACCCTTCAAAGGTTGATTTTAGCTTCTGAGACACCTTGCCCAGGGTCTCAGGAACCAGCAGCATTTTGGCTCCCACCTCAGGGCACGGTCTCATAGTGGCAGGGGAAGGCAGTTGAGTGGGTAGCAGAGGGAGAATGTCAGGCTTGGGCTGGCAGAAGGTCTCACCTACCTTCTGTTGCCTTAGGCTGAGAGCACCCAAGTCCCCTGATGCCACAGCAGACATTGGGCACCACCAGTTCACCTACGCCGTGATGCCTCACCAGGGTGGGTGACGGGCAGAGCTGGCTCCTGGGGGGGACACGCAGGGTGGGGGGTGCTGCAGGGAGCCTTGGGGTGAGCACGGCTGTGCCTGGCTGGAGGCTGGCTAGGACTTGTGTTGCAGGTTCCTTCCAGGATGCTGGGGTGATCCAACGTGCCTACAGCTTGAATTTCCCCCTGCACGCGGTCCCAGCCGGCGCTGCCCAGTGCCCGCCCTGGAGCGCCTTTTCCGTCAGCTCGGCTGCAGTGGTGCTGGAGGCTGTCAAGCAGGTGAGTCCCCCAGCTGAACTGGGGAGCTGCAGACAGGTTACAGGGTGGTGGGAGTTGGAAGGGACCTCTGAAGATCCATCCAGTCCAACCTCCCTGCTAGAGCAGGATCACCTACAATAGATCCCACAGGAACGCATCCAAATGGGTTTGGAATGTCTCCAGAGGAGACTCCACAGCCTCTCTGGGCAGCCTGTCACTTCCCTCACAGTCTTTTCCTTATGTTTAGCTTGACCCTCCTGTGCTCCAGCTTGTGCCCATTGCCCCTTGTCCTGTCCCTGGGCACTGCTGAGAAGGGCCTGGCCCCATCCTCCTGACACCCCCTGGAGATACTGATCAGCACAGATGAGATCCCCCCTCAGCCTCCTCCTCTCCAGGCTGAACAGCCCCAGCTCTCCCAGCCTTTCCTGCCAGGGCAGATGCTCCAGTCCCCTCAGCATCTTTGTGGCCTGTGCTGGACTCTCCCAGTAGCTCCTTATCCTTCCTGAACTGGGAAGCCCAGAACTGGACCCAGTGCTCCAGATGCGGCCTCACCAGGGCAGAGCAGAGAAGGATAATCTGTCGTTGTTAAGCAGGGTTTCCTCAGCCCTGTAGGGCAGCTGTAGGTGTAGATGTAGGGCAGCTGTAGGTGTGGATGTCCCTGCCTCACTTGCCCGTGCTGTCCCCAAAGGCTGAGGACAACCCCGCAGCCGTGGTGGCCCGGCTGTACGAGGCGCACGGCAGCACGGCCGTGGCCTGGCTCCAGACTTCCCTCCCCGTGAAGGAGGCCATGCTGTAAGTCCGGACTGGAGGGCTGGGTGACTGTGGGGATGGAGGGACCCAAACCCTTCAGCCTCACCTGCTGCTTTCTCCTCCCAGCTGTGACCTCCTGGAGCGGCCGCTGGCCGGAGGGCGCCTGCGGCTGGAGCCCCGGGGGGTGCCCTTGTCCTTCACCCCCTTCCAGCTGCTCTCCGTCCTCTTGGTCTTGAAGCTGTGACACCCTGGGGTGGCAGCAACACCTGGACCCCCCACATCACAAGCCTGAGGCTTCCCCCATCCCAAGAGCTGTGCCAGGAGGCAGTGGGTGCAGGGAAGGCCAGTCTCCCCCTTGCCCCCCACAGCCCTGGGAGAGCAGAGCTCTTGAACAAGCACCTTCTTCAGGAAAGGAGGAGAGTTGTCCTCAGCCTGATGGAGGGGCTGAGTGAGCCCCAGCCAGCTGAAGCAGGGCTAAGGTTGTGGGGCAGGCTGGCTGTCCCCCCCGCCACAGACCCTGCTCCAGGGGTTGGGGAGCAGCAGCTTTCTTCCCACAGGGTCTTGGCCTCCCATCTTCTCCACACTCCATCAGGGAGTGTAAAGACACATTGCAGTCCTTTCCCTCTCCCTTCCCCTGCGTCTTGCACTGCTCTTGCAGAAGTGGACCATAAATCAAGAGAATGACATGAAAAACAGCTCTAGCTTCTTTTTTTCTAACCGATTTCCAGGTAACTGCACTGATCTGCCTCCTATCAGGGGCTCTGCTGTAGCTGCTGCTCTCTTAGTGTCCCCCTCAGCAGCATCTTGCTCCTGGCAGGGGGGGGCAGAACTTACCTTTTGGTTTTTTGGGGGGTAAGGTGGAAGGGGGAGTCTGTTCCAGCCCATCTAGGGAAGAGGCTGCCCAGGGGGGATGTTACCCTTAGCAGAAAAAGCATGCAGGGTCTTTTCTACACAAAATACTTTATTAGTCAGCTAAAAAGAGTGATCCAGGCAGAAGCCAGAAAGGGGAAGAGGGGGAAGGAAGAGGGAATCCACTTTTAGGCAGAGGGAAAGGATCAGAACCCAGCACCACGTGTGGTCTGTGGCCCTTTTCCCCCCCTCCTCAGGAGCCTGGGGACAGCAGGAGGATGCTGGATAAACCGACCCCATCACCAAGCCCCAAATCTCTTTCCACACTGGCAGGGTGCAGCGGTAGCGAGGGGGGGTGAGCACAAGACCCAGAGCAGCCCCGTTTCTCCCCAGATCAGCCCCATTTCTCCCCAGCACTGACCCCAGCCCCAGGCAAACCCCCCCAGGCCTCCCCCAGCCCCTGGGCAGGAGGGCAGCGCGGCGCTCACACGGCAGGGGCTGCGCCTGGAGAACAGGGAGAGAAAGAAGGCAGAGGGTGAGGGTGAGGGGGCTGCTTCTGCCCCCCCTGGCCCCTCTCCTGCCCTTGGCCACCCCCTCAGTCTCCCTGAGAAGAGGAGGTGCTCCCACAGCCTGTCTGGAAGATGCAGGGACCTCCAGCCTCACCTCTGCCCCTGCGCGTAGACATTCGGCGCCTTCCGGCTGCCTCGGGCTCCGAGGGGGCTGGAGCAGCACTTGCTTTCCTCCTCTTCCCACGGGCACGTCCCTTCCTCGGCCCCTCAGCCACCTCTTCCTGCTCTTCTTCCTCCTTGGCTGGCTTTGGGGGCTTCGCTGCAGCCCTCGGAGGCCGTTTTGAGGCACGTGGGGTGACCTGGGTGGAGGTGACAGGCAGAGCTTAGCAGCAGAAGTGTGCTTGGCCAGCTGGCTGCCAAGAAACTCCAAGTAGGAGCTCCACCATGAAGTGGGGAGCAGCCAGAGCAGGGCACAGGGAACAGGACCAGCCACTAAACCCAGCAGGAGCTGCAACAACCACAAAGGTTCTTACCTTGGGGGCCTGAGCCTCGGGGTCTGCCTTCAGCTGAGCGCGCTTCCCGCGGGACGCCTGCCCTGCGTGAGGAGATGTGCCCAGGTGAGGTGGGGATGGGGCACAGAGCACCTCTGGGGACAGACTGTGGCACAGCGACCTTGCAGGGACACTGTCCTGGCTGCTGTGTGAGCTGAGCAACTGGGGAACTGGCACTGAGGTGGAGGAATGGCTTGAGGGGGCTCCTCTCCCCCAGCCCTCCCACCAGATTTCCACCCCTGCCAAAAGATTGCTCAGTGCAGGAGGGAACACCCTCCAGCTCCCAGCCCAGTGGTGAGGAAGGGGACTTAGGTGCTGGCCTGGAAGGAGCACCCTGTGGGTGCCATGGCTGTGCCCAGGCAGGTGGGTGTGCTGGTAAGCAAGCCTTGGAGACAGCAGGTTCTGCCCCCCAGTGTGACCAGCACAGTGTCCCAGGGAGAGAGGCTTTGCTCCTGCCTTTGCCTCTGGGCTTCCCAGGCTCCAGCCCTGCCAGAGACAGAGCAGGTCTGGTGGGGAGGAGAGTGGACACTCACCTTTAGGAGCCATGGGGCCAGGCTCTCCCTGCAAGGAAGGGACAGAGCATGGAGTGGGGCACAGCCATTCTGCAGGCAGCAGCAGCAGAATCCAGGCCCCTTCTCCACCCTGCAGCCAAGACAGTGCCAGGGAAATGGCCACATTTCCCTGGGAAGCAGGGGGAGTCAGACTTGCTCTGGTCTGGGGACTCTCTGGTCAGCCCCTTCTCCTTCTGCAAGGCCCCACCGTGGTGCCTCACCCGGGAATGGGGCACAGGAGGGAGGAACAGCTGCCAGACCACCTGAGCCCCCTGGTCCTGCAATCAGCTGCTCTGCTCCAGGCTGGCCACTGCATGGAGGGTCCTTATCACAGCAGTCTGGGGGAGAGGGAGATCCCCAGAGGCACAGTGCAATGCTGGAAGGCCTCAGGAAGCAGAATGTGGGCCCGGTGTCCCTTCAGAGGAGTGGTTGGGGGGCAGTGACCCCAGACTCCTACCTGGAACCAGATGGTCCTGCCGTTGCGGTCGCGCAGGGAGCTCATGCCGGGCACCAAGTAGCACTGCAGCCAGCTCTGGAAAGCAGCGTAGTTATCCGAGTGGTCTGGCTCCAGGAGATTTTTCTCTGGGAAGGCAGAGAGAGGGAGAGGACGGGGATAGAGAAGAAGCAGGTGTCAGGGTGCCTGCTGCTGGGAACTGCCCCTGTCCCCAGCTCCCCCATCCTGTCGCCTCACCCGCCGCGACCACCTCCATGGGCACGGTGTGGCACAGCTCCAGGAGATCCGGCTGCTCCCGCTTCAGCTTCAGCTTCTTGCTCAAGGTCAGGGAAGGATTCTGCAGGGGTGGAGAAGGGGAGTTCCCTGTCAGCCACCCCAGCCTCGTGGGGATCCCTCTTCCCCAACAGCAGGCAAATCCCCCCATCTCCTCGTGCCCACCCAAAGATGAACTGCCGACCGAGCGCCCCGCCGCGCCACTCTGGGCTCTGAGCTGTGCATTAGCACCTGCCCCACAGCTACCAAGATGTGACAGAGGGGCAGCACACAGGAATACAAACAACAAAACAGCCCTCAGGCTTCACGGGTTTGTGTTTTTGTTTTTTTGTTTTCAAGCTTCTTTAAAACAGCCACTTCCTCTCCCCCCAGGCCACAAGCTCCACCGTGGGCTCTGCTGCAGCCTTTCCCTAGAGATCTGAAGGGGTTTGTTGCCTTCGCCCCTTCCTCTTTACCCACCCCAAACATACCCAGCAGCTTCCTGAGGGCTGCCAGGCACCGGCCCAGGGAGCTGCCACAGCTCCTCAGCCCAGCCAGGTGTGAAGGGGACACGTGAGGTTACCCAACTGCTGCTGCTGGAGGGGCAGGCGTGCTCGGACACGGGTGCTCCTGGCCATTTGTTTTCAAGCTTCTTTAAAACAGCCACTTCCTCTCCCCCCAGGCCACAAGCTCCACCGTGGGCTCTGCTGCAGCCTTTCCCTAGAGATCTGAAGGGGTTTGTTGCCTTCGCCCCTTCCTCTTTACCCACCCCAAACATACCCAGCAGCTTCCTGAGGGCTGCCAGGCACCGGCCCAGGGAGCTGCCACAGCTCCTCAGCCCAGCCAGGTGTGAAGGGGACACGTGAGGTTACCCAACTGCTGCTGCTGGAGGGGCAGGCGTGCTCGGACACGGGTGCTCGTGGCCAAGGGGCAGGAATGTGCATGAGGAAAAAGATCCCAGGCAGCAAGCCTTGCAGTTGTGAAGGGAAAATGCTTGCTGTTGAGTTTGGAAAAGGCTCGAAACCAGCCTGACAGCGGGGTGGGCAGAGGCTGGGGGAGCCCTGCCAGGGCCTCGTGAGGATGTTCTGCCCCATCAGAGCGAGGAATCAAACGTGAACTGAAAGCAGCCCTGAACCCTGGGCTGGAACATGCCCCAAACAGCTGAAACATGCCCCAAACAGCTGAAACATGCCCCAAACAGCAGAGCTGAAGCAGATCTTTGCACCCAGCTAAGCCCAAAGCAGAGCCAGAGCAAGGCAGCTCTGTGCCCAGGCTGGGGGGTGGTCACAGACTGAACCCCTCAGCCAGAAAACTCAGCTCAGTCCAGCAAAAGAGGCTCTCAGGACCCCAGGGAGCTTCCTAAACATCCTGCAGGACCACAGGCAAAGCAATCCCTGCTATGGGTCTGTCTGGAAACCTGCCCCTTTTCTGAGGCTGCAAAAGCACCAGCTGTTCCCCACCTTCTTCCTCCTCTCCTGCTCCTGCTCCTTCAGGGCCTCCAGCACAGTCCGAGCCTTTTCAAAGGGGGGGATCTTCAACCTGAGAGAGTCCACCTGTTACACACAAGCCTGACCACTTGGTTCTGGCACTTTCCCATCTCTTATCAGACCCAGGAGTCACCAAGCTCTTGGGAGACCAAACCTCCCCGGGGGCAGGTGAGCGGGTGCTCAGCCCACCTCACCTGTACAGGATCTCAGCCCGCAGGTAATTCCCGATTCCGTTGAAAAACTTCTGGTTCAAGAGGGCCTCGCAGATGGGCTTGTCAAAAGCCTTGTCGTCCAGGTTCTTCAGCACGTTCTCCCTGCAGGGGAGACGTGTGGGATGAGCAGCCGAACCAGGGGAGGCCCCTTCCCCCGGGGCCGGGCGGTGGGACCGGGCTCACCTGAAGGCCAGGTACTCGGAGAGGACGCAGGGCCCTCGCTCGGGCTGCCAGGCATCCCCCAGCCGCCAGGACCCGAAGCGCCGGGCATCCACGAAGCAAAGGGCTTGCGGGGGGCAGCCGCGGGTCAGGAAGCGCAGGTGTGCGTGGCGGGGCAGGTGGGCTGCGGGGCACAGCCGGAACGAGCCCGACATCCCGAAACGGAACACCAGGTCCTGCGGGGAGCCGGGATCCAGCGGAGCCAAGCGCAGCCGCAGCTCCTTCCCCCGGGAAACGGCGGAGATGCGGTAAGCTTGGG